CCGGAGGAATTCTGTAGCCACCTTCGTCCTTAAGGCAGAATAGCAGCTGCTGGTTGTATCTATGTCGTGTTATTGGCAACGCCCGATCGTCTGATTTTATTTGTGCTTTCACGAATACTAAACAATTTGAGGTAGAACTGTTTTCTACAGCACGAGTTTGTTGTACTTCAAATACCTTCTGCATTTATGGTAAATATTTCAACTTTGCAGCAATGCGAAAAAATCTATTGAATTAATTTCGGAACTCTTTAAATCGGAAGACGGTCTTGCATTTATGATTGAATGTAACCTAATTATAAGTTATATTAAATCTCTTTGTATTTTTTAACTACCAACATTGTGTAAATATGGATCGACAACAATGGTTATGTTACCTAAGAAACTAATTGTTGCGTCATCTGTTTACTCGGCATTGTGTTTCATTATTGCCGTCAACAATAATGGTCAGCTTTTATATGAACTCATGCGTGCATTGTTATGTTACTAGGAAACGTCATCTGTTTACCCTGCATTGTTGAGTTAAATTACTGCCGCCAACAATCCGCTTTCGTCATTCTGTTAAGAGTTGAGCTGTGAGTCGCTTGTGTAAGAAGTGCGTCGTAGAGTAGACAATTTTGTGCTGTTAAATAGACGTTTTTGTCGAGCAATGGAGAAAATAAACAGTGGTAAGTGGAATATTGGATGTTTAAATTTCTTTTAATTTGCTTGTGTTTAACATGGGTGTAATTATATAATGGGAATACCGAGATAAATACCGCAATTGCAACTGTCTACTAACAAGCCATTGTTACTTAAAAAAGTGTTTTCGGAATTTAGTTCCTAAGAATGAATTCTTATTTGTGATTTAACATTATGTAAAAATGTCTTTGAATATTACAAATTTATAACTAACTAGAAACGTATGTTGCAGTGATTAACATCTTTTTTGTCTGGAGGTATTAGAAACTATGCTTGGGAGCCATAATTTTAGACGTTTAGGCTGGACTGCCGTGATATATCCGGCTACAAAACTTAATATGCTGATGAATAAGAACTACATTTGCTAAGTTCAAATATTTAAAAGCAACAACAAATAATCAAAATTGTATTCATGAATAAATTAGGGACAGATTGCATTCTGAGAATGTCTGCTACCTCGAAGTTCAGAATCTTTTGTGCTCCCATAATTTGTGTATAAGATTAAAGATGATCTACAGAAAAAATACAGCTCTACTACTTGCCGTGGTTGGATGTGTTAAAATAGTGCTTTTGACGTAAATACGTATATATTTTAGGGTCAGTGTCATTCGGGAAAAAGTGAAACGAAAAAGTGTAACTTCATTGTTATGTTACCTAGGAAACGTCATTTGTTTATCAACAAATCGACAACAATGGTTACCTAAGGAACATCTATTTACTCGATATTTTTGTTACCTATAAAACATTTCATAACATTACCTTACCTTACATTACATTACATTACATTCAGCTACCACAGAAGCATTTTAAGCGTAACTAATTCAAGTTGAATAAGCAATGTCTTAATCAAACTTTACTCAATTGTAAAGCATGTATAAAGGAAATATTTAGAATAAAGCCAATATATAAACTTCCTTTCCGTATAGACGTATTTACGTCAAATTCTCCGGAACCCTGGTTCCACTATCACTTTTTAATATAGTAATGACAGTAGAGATTCATTAAAAGAAAGGTATTTCTTGAGCAGACAAGTGTCCATTTATCGAGGAAGACCATAATATGATGTGCACTTTCACGATCTTACTAATGGTGTGATTTGTGCTGTTGCAGTTACGTCGTTCTTACAAGGCCTAGCAGCTTCGACCACTGTCAACAAAGACAAAGGACTGGCAAGGCTGATAAACGAGGAGGATAAAGTATCCACTGCAATCCTTCTCCTGGTCATGACGCTTATGATTTTATGTGCTTTAAGGGTAGGTATAATGTCTCTCTATCTGACTGAACATGTCAGACTAAAGTCCTGAGGTGTAAGGTTATACACAAAAGAATGGTGCGGTTTCAAAACTTAATAAAAAGTTGTCAGTGGGACCACGGTTCCGGAGAATTTGACGTAAATACGTATACGGAAAGGAAGTTTATATATTGGCTTTATTCTAAATATTTCCTTTACACATACTTTACAATTGAGTAAAGTTTGATTAAGACATTCCTTATTTAACTTGAATTAGTAACGCTTCAGATGGGTCTGTGGTAGATGAATGTAATGTAGGGTAAGGTAAGGTATTTATTTATTTATTTAGTGTTCTGTCTGACGACAGGTCCATATAAACAGGATCCTTCCATCCTTTTCTCAGACTGGGACCTGTTCATATACGTTCTTGGCAGATGATCCAGAAGTGGTATGCCATTGCCTTCTTCTGTGTGTGAATGGAGTAATTGTTGGGATGCCACGGAGAAACCGGGGAAGCCCCCGGAGGAAAACTCCATGTTTCCTAGACCACGGCCTTGCCCAACACAAGTTATAAATTCGGGCACCGCCGGGAATCTAACCGGAGACCTCAGGATTACAAGGCCAGCGTTCTAACCGCTAGACCACCGTGGATAAGGTAAGGTAAGGTAAGGTAATGTAATGTAAGTTAAGGTAATATAATGCAAGGTTAGGTAATGTAATGCAGCAAGTACCTCTGCAGCATTGTAAATTTTACTGCATTACTTGGCACTACAACGCACTGACACTTCTGTTGTTAAATTATTCACTTTGCTTCTCAACCATCCTGAAATCAGCAGTTGTTTTTTATGTACTCACCAAGTACGAGACAGATTTTGGACGTTATCTTAAAGGCGTAATACAGTTTTACCAAGAACGGAAATTTTGAGCAGCGTTTATGGACGTTCAACTCTGTTTGGTATTTTTCTGTGTTGCCTTCAACGGGGATGTCCATGATTTTCATCGCATATACTGTGTCGTTATCCATGCCGCAGTTCTTCCACGTCTTGTACACCTTTCCAAAACCTGTAACAGTACATGGTTATGATTCTTGTTTCTTTCTGCTCGACAGTGGTCTCAAGTTTTTGTAGACTGTCCCTTTATAAAGATCATTATTGTTTATAAACTTTTGAGAAATATCAAACATTTATGTGATTGTGTGCATTTAGTTTTAACATTATGAATTTGTGGGTCTTTATCTGTACCAAGATATAGACACAACGGTTAATAATGGTTACCATTTTTCAGTCTACTCTTTCCAGATAACATTCAAGAAAATAGTCAGCAATGAGAAAAAGAATGGTATTGTTGGCAAAATGTGTATTTTGATTTAATGTAAGCATAAAAGAATTTTGAGTTGTTTCCAACTGTTCTCAACCTCACCATGACGTCTTGTATTTCTGATGCTTCATTTTGCTCAAACATTATTAATAAAGATTTGGTTTAGGGTTTGTAAATGTTGTGGTTAGATATCTACTGATCATAATCACATGTCTGAATACAGTAACATCTGTTCCTGCTACTACTTCTACTATTCTGCCCATTGATCTAGAGGATTATAGAAAATCAGGCCTATATTTATCAGCAGAGACAGGCAAGTGTTAATGGAAATTTATACTTACCACCTTCCCCTAGAGGTTCCAGCAATTCAAAGTGTCTCAGTGTTGCTGCGCGAGGCTGCGAATACCGGAAAGAGAGGATATGACAGACAAATTAGTCACTGTCTGCTTGTCAAATTGACAAAGTTACAAAACTCCTCATACACATTAGAAAAGTAACAGTTAATCTGAAATCAGTCCAGTCTATACCCACACATCACATACAAGATGTTTTAATCTTTCCCTCTCGTCTGTGCTGTCTCATGAGTGTTCTTCCCTCTACAGAGCATTTATTAATCTCTCCTGTGTAATTTAAAACGACGTCTCAGTGACGAATTTATTCCCGTCCTCAGCCATGAGGAACAGTTTACATGTGTTTCGCCCTTCATAGTACGTTGTACCTGAGGACGGACGCATTCCAGCCCTGGAAACGTTATTTTAATTAATTGACGTCCAAGACGCCTGTCATTTAATAAAGCACGAGTCAGAAACCTCCGGACTTCGTCTTCTCCTCAGGAAGTTTCTTCTTCATTTGATAAAGATACTTCAGTGAAATTTGTACCGGTTTCTTCTGGTCAATACGTGTGTTTAATCCCTCGCATATTTAACTGTGACCAAACAGTGCCTACAACAAGGTTAGGATTTAGATATATAAGGGTTTCAGTACTCCTTAGTACCAACTGGAACCCCTTACTGAAGGGGGTGAACTGTGTCTTGTGACATCACCTTTCACACTGGAAGAAATTTAATTTTTCCTACATTCTATAATAATAGTAATGATAATACTGGATTTAACTTCAAAATGTTTCTATTATTTTAATGGTTGTGACATTTATTCTTTATTATTCTTCTCCTTTGCCACTTTTATAGGATAACTTGTCCTGTTAAGCCTGAACTAAATTGTGTATATTTGTTAGTTAAGAATATGATTGATGTTAAAATGCTTGACTAATTATAGGTTACCACTGCCATAGAATCAACAAATAGAATGGTGAGTGCGGACCATTTCTGATTTTTTAAACTTATAAATACTGTGTAGATAGTCACTGATAACCATGGTAGCTTGTTGAATAATTGAACTGGTTGAATTGGACGGCTGGGACCAAATTCCAGTGATCAAATTTCAGTTTTGTGTTTTCAGCGTGTCCAAACATCTCTAGAGCCAAAGCAGGTCTTTTCTCCAGAGGAAGCAAGGAGATGGCTGTAGTCTGGTAGAAGTTCACTGACATTTTAGTTATTTGCTGTCTTCCATCATGAGGGTGTTCAGTCACCCTGATGATGGAGACAGCAAGTACATCTGAAATACTGATGAACGTCTACCAGACTACACAGTTTCACATCCCAGAAACCTGCCGTCCTCACGCCCGCTGTCATGAGTACCTCAAGTCCTTCCACTTGCCTTATTCATGTGGAGCTCATCATTTACTTTCACATTAAATATTATGGTTGATCCTCGTGGAGAGACTTGCACTTTGTTGCTTAGGCAGGCAGAATTCAGAGCAATCAGAATATGTAACCCAGATATCTGCCCTCTTGATAAGTGTATCTTCAGGCTGTGAGGTTACCATGATAGGATCAGTGTAATTTGTTATTTATCCAGCGAAAATCTCTGATGGGCACGATCTGTTTCACACGGAATATCAGAGGTGTGAGGAGTGAACTGGTCCAACTGAAGATGCCGGATTCATTTTCTTTGCATTAAGGAGAAAAATGCAACTTCAGTGACTGTAATATATACCCACTGAAAATTAATGTGACTGTTGGTTTCCACCTGCTCAACTGTTATTAAGTTATAACCTGTCACTGAATGTAACATTTCTTTACATAATGTCACTGTTAAGTGGTTACCACTGTGTTTGGGAAGTTCTGAGTTCAAACCTTGAAGTTTTTCATGGTTGTGTTCAGTTCCTCTGAGCGAATGTCAGGATAGTATTTGAAGTAAGCTGTGACCACTTCCTTCCACTTCAGAAACCATTGTAGCATTTGATGCTGTATAGTTTAAGCTACTGAAAGTGTCTTGAAGTAAACCAGATATAAATAATGAATATTTCTCTGTGTGTGAAGATTTCCCCTTCATATCTTTATCACTGCAGGTGACCGCTTGAAGATGGCACTTTTAGACAATATTAATTTTGTGCATTTCTGTTACTTTCTGCCATGATGCCATTCAGTCCCACATGATGTTGATTGGTGGTCATTAGGATTCTTGGGTAAAACAAAATGTTTGACTTTGTAAGCATGGCAGAGTGGCATGTGCATGTACACGTGTGGTTGTTTAAGGGAGAGGAACGGATAAAATCGGAGGAGTTGGCATTTTACAAAATTATAGATGCACAGAAAAGTGCTTTGAGTTTCCCCTTTAATATTATATCCGTGATTTCTCCATACTTATTCATAGGTGAGGCTGCACGTTTAGTTTTGCATATATGCTGAGTAAACAACCAACTAACTAACTTACTTACTTGATGGCTTAGGGAACACTATTCATCAACTTATCAACCTAAGTCTCCCCCTGTCTCTGTCGTTGGCCATGAAAATCCAATCGTCTTCATCTCCTGTGTCCCATGGATCCTGCCTGATATTATCCTTCCAAGTATGTCATTGAAAATCATTTCTGTTAAATTTGAATTCAATTAATCCTGTTTTTGTTGTTATTAGTTAGGTATCAATGCATTATTAATTGTGTTGGAAAATTATCATGCAGTGCATATAGTAGATGCAGCCCTTGGTGACCTGTCGCTGGTTTACAATGTGACCTATTTGTTGGTATACAAATGATACGCTTTTTTTGGTGAACTGGTCTTGTTATAATCCTGTTGTTGGCAATTGTATTGTGTGCTCCGAGAGGGACTTTCTGAATGTCTGTGTTACAAAGAGTAAGAACTAGCTTCAAACTTAAATTCCTAACATTCCATGTTTTGAGAATATGCGTCCTCTGCTGGAATCAAAACCTTCAAAATTCTGTTAATCAGTGTCAAAACTATTAAAGATAAGGACAAATCTGCTGCTTCTTCGTAAACAATCTTTCAGTTTCCAGTCTTCTGCAGAGGATAACATTGCAGTAACTCCATTGTCAAATTCAACAGATAACGCAGTAGCACTCACTGACCCCTAGTTTCATTAAGTGTCTTTACAGTAACAATAATGCATTATTATTTTTCCAGACTATTATCCTGGTGGAGACTTGCGCAATTTGCTCCACCTGATCAAGACTGTACCTAGCGTAGATAGTCCTGGCTGTGGAATACTTACATCAAGTAAGCAAACTTCACTTCACTTGTCTGAAATAAACTACCTAAGTAGCTATGTGGCCGCAACATTTTTTGATTGCATTCAGTACTTTAATTCTGCTCTGCAAGCATCATGTAATTTTTCTTTCTGTGGGAAACAACAATAACAGTACATATGGCAGCTTAATTAAATTGATAACTAACTAGATGGCTTACCGAACTCGAAGGTTCATCACCCAATTAACCAAAGCCCTCTA